CTTAAGTAGGAGTAAAAGTGTGTTACTTGAAAATGACTCTGAAAAATACAATCTCTTTAAAAAGTTACTTAAGTAAATGTAACCCACGTCTGCAGATTATGTTCACTCCAAACCTAAAGAAGCAAGTATGTATAATGATATTGAAAAATTTGCTGGATTTGATATCGGCTTACAAATATCGATTCAGCCAATATCCTGGTTGGACATTGGAATGAATGTTATAAAACAATTTCCTGGTTGTAGTCGCCCAGAAAGTCTCATAAGGTCTGAATGTTTATTACTTGAGGGACAAATGTCAGCTACAGAACACTTTTGGGTCAGTTTTATTTTTAAAAGAAATTGAATTGCTATTTACAGTCTCTGCACTGGTATCGGTTGATATCGACGGATACTTAAAGCTGCAGTATTGGAATCGGTATCTGCGCTGAAAAAGCCAAACCGCGGCGTCCCTAAAATCAAGCACACAGCAAATTCATGAGTGTCAATCCAACTCACGCATTGTTCATTTTAACACTTTTACTGTGTTATATGGGGTCCACATTAGAATGAGTTAAAACTACTTTCCAAAGTGTAGAAAGATCAACACAGGTAAAGTGATGTAAACACACTTCTCAGAGTTGAATTTGACACTGATTAAGACTAGATTTTTTTACACTAGTGTACAGTGAAAAACTAATAACACTATATTGATAAGTTTGAACACTTTATGAAGAAGAAATAGTGTAGAGTGTTCTTCATGTTGCACTAGTCAATAGTCAGTGTTGGGAAGATTACCATTAAAATGTAATCCCCTACAGATTACAGATTACATCCCCCAAAATGTAGTTTGTAACATAATCCATTAAATTACTTAAAGTGAGTAATGTAATCTGAATACTTTGGATTACTTGATATTGTCCTGCTTTTTAAAACTACATGAATGTACCGACACATCCTGAAAATTCTTGTTTATTTTCTTCAAATTGTCTGTTGAGCCCAAGTCTCCATGAACAGACTTTTGTTTTACTGTAGAGAAGCAAAGACCAGGATCTGAACATAAGATGTTTTGTCTGTTAAAAAACAATAAAAAGTCCAGTCTTTCCTTAACCAGATTAAAATGATTATTGATAGAGAAATGATTTCTATATGAGATCACTGCTGCCTTAAATTATGTTCACCTACTGTTAGTGTCATATTGTTTAGACCTGGATTAGACCTAGATTAGTCCTAGTTTAGTCCTGGTTTAGTCCTGGTTTAGACCTGGTTTAGTCTTGGTTTAGTCCTGGTTTAGACCTGGTTTAGTCTTGGTTAAGTCCTGGTTTAGCCCAAAATGTAAAAACAGGAAAATGCTGCCATGTAATCCATTTATTTCAACAAAGTAACTGTAATCCAATTACCACTCATGGAAACAGTAACTGTAACTGAATACAGTTACTCATAAATTGTACTCTGATTGCGTAACGCCGGTACATGTAATCTGTTACTCCCCAACACTGTCAATAGTGCCGTGATTAAGTAAAATAATTGGGGTAGGACAAGTTTTTTAAACTTCGTCCTCCTCCTTTTGAGCACCACGTCCCAAATATGTTCATGTACATGTCCCTGTTTCTGTTATTGTTTAGGAAATTTTGTTGTATCTGTCTCAAACAAATAAATAAATGAAAATGAAATGAATGAACTGTTTTTTTCACTAAATGTTGTCAACGCTGTGGTCATTCTAGTTCATCATCCCTTTGACAAATGTAAAATAATGAAAACCACAAAATTAAATTTCAATGTAACTTGTATTAAACTATTGCACATCATACAATCACACTACCAGGACATTTCAAAAGTTAGAACTCAGGTCTCCTTACATGTGTCTCGCTCCCTGTGCGGTCCAGCTCACATGTGGAACAGCTGCTGTCTGTAGCTCTCCCTCTGAAAACGTTACAAAAGCCCAACTCTGATGGAGTGTAACATTTAAAACACACACTTTGTAACTGTTTGACGTTAACACTGTGAATCAACAACTTTTCATTTTACTCTACAACACCATCATAGTTGAAATTACTCTTCACTATGTCGAAACAAATCTAGATTTTCTTCACTTTACACTTCACAACAACACCAGCAACGTGAATTTAACACTTTTGGATTTGCTGTGCAGCTATTGTCTATGGCATCATTTCAACTGCTTTACATGTATTTTATGGTTCTGATCAAATGTGTTTTCTGTCTATGTGGACTACGCACTGATTCAAATGAACGTGCATGGACTTGTTTCTCCACAGATCTGACCTGTAACTTAGCCTGGCGGTGTCATCTGCTTGTCTCCATGGAGCTAGAGAAGCTAAATGCCATACTGCGGGACATTCCAGGCAAAGCGATGATATCTCCATGGAGACGAGCAGACTGTAGAGGACCCTCCGTCAGAAATCGTGCATCTTTAAGGCGATGTTCAGACTGCAGGGTTTAAAGCTCAATTTGGATTTTTTTGTGAAATCAGATTTTTTTTTGCAAGGTTGTTCACATTTCTAATTACAGTAAATGTGACTTTATGTGATCTCCAGTGTGAACTTTAAACACCCCAAGTGTAGCTGCTGTTGTATCGGAGCCAGAACATGTAAAGCTTATTTGTTCTAAGGAGATTGAGAAGTGGAAGGACAAGTTTTTTGGTCGTGGAGTTTTGTGGGACAGCGGCAGCAACGTCCGTAGAAAGAAACGTGTGAGTGCAGAGCCGCAGCCAAGAGCCGTGGGACTGAGTTCAAACACAATTTTCATATGACGAGAAGAACGTTTGTGTACATTTGTGACGTGTAGGTGTGATGAATGTGACCTGACTGTTCAGACTGAAGTCACATGTCAAAAGATCAGATATGTATCAGTTTCAGGAGCACATGTCCAAGGGTCCTGGGTCACATTTGAAAAAATCGGATCTGTGTCATTCAGACTGTCATTAAAAGATCAGATACAGGAACATAGGGGCCAAAAAATCTGATTTGGGTCACTTCAGGCTGCAGTCTGAACATAACCTTACTTACTTACTTAGATCTACAGCGTGTGGTCAGAGCAGCAGAGAAGATCACTGGATGTGACTTTACACCCATCAGTGACGTTTATGAGGAGCGTTGTAGGAGACGGGCCTCCAGGATCATGGAGGACTCCTCACACCCTCCCACCACCTGTTTGTCCCTCTGCCTCTGGGAGGAGACTGAGGAGCATTAAAACCACAACATCTGGGCTGAAGTTCAGCTTCTTTCCTGAGGCTGTCAGACTTTTGAACAGTGAACACTGACTTCCTGCTTGGGCTGCTACTCTATCTTGTCACGTTTTACTTGTACTTGTCCACAGTGTTGGGCAGTAACAGATTACATGTACTGGAGTTACGTAATCAGAGTACAAATTATGAGTAACTGTATTCAGTTACAGTTACTGTTTCAGTGAGTGGTAATTGGATTACAGTTACTTTGTTGAAATAAGTGGATTACACAGACGTATTTTCCTGTTTTTACATTTTGGGCTGTATCCCCCTCCTTTTTTTTTCTGTAATTCCACTCATTTCTGGACACTAAACCAGGACTAAACCAGGACTAAAACCAGGACTAAAACCACGACTAAACCAGGACTAAACCAGGACTAAAACCAGGACTAAAACCAGGACTAAACCAGGACTAAAGGGCTAAAGCAGGACTAAACCAGGACTAAAACAGGATTTAACAGGACTAAACCATGCCGCGCGGACCGTGTCTCCTCCTCTTCTATCAATAATATTTTTAATTTGGTTAATATTGTCTTTAAGCAGACAAAACATCTTATGTTACGATATCCCCGTGTTTGCTTCTCTACAGCAAATCAAGTAATCCAAAGTATTCGGATTACGTTACTCACTTTAAGTACCTTAATGGATTCCGTTATAAACATTTTGAGGTATGTAATCTACAACAATACATTTTAAAAGTAACCTTCCCAACACTGCTATATATATATATATATATATATATATATATATATATATATATATATATATATATATATATATATATATATATATTTTTTTTTTTTAATATTGCTTATTGATTATTGTTTTATCTCTACATCAGGCCCGGACCAAACCAGAAAGACCAGGATTCAGACCGGGACCAGACCAGGACTGAAAACGGTTAAGGAAATGGGAAAAGCAGTTTCCGTGACTGACCTGGAGTCAGTCCTTGTCTGGTACTGGTCTAAGTCCTGGTCTCAGTCCCGGTCTGGTCCCGGACCTGGTTTCGTCCTGGTTTAGTCCTGGTTCAGTCCGGAGGTGCAAATAATGAAGAAAATAGTTTTTTTCGTTTTCTTATTTTTGGTTTTATATTAAAAAACAAGTTTCTTCTTCTGCCACATTTTTCACTTTGATTTTATTAAGACTTCATTCTCGTAATATTACAACTTTATTTTAACTTCGACTTTATTCTTGTTAAATTATGACTTTATTCTTGTAAAATTACGACTTTTTCTGGCTTCGATTTTATTCTCATAATATTACGACTTTAATGTCGAAATGTTACGACTTTATTCTCGTTGCGCCAGCATCATTTTTTTTTTAATATTCCGTCGTAAGCCACTAAAATTCTGAATAAAAATAATTCAAACATCTTTTTTTCAGAGTTAAAAAATTCAAAGTGAGAAATCGTATTTAAATCGAGAAGTCGTATTTAAAATTCAAAATCTGATGGAACAAATGATCTTCCATAGTTCTGTTCGTGTTCGCCCCGCACCACGGCGCGCCCCTCCGTTTGACCCGCGCTGTTTGTTGTGCGCGCGTGGGAGGGAGAGGGGAGCGTGCCTGACACAAACGCGCGCCCCCGTGGCTCATCTCGTGGCTAGTTAGTATATATACGCGCGCTCTCGTGCTCCCCCCCCCCCCCCCCCGTCCGCGCTCCCGTGGGCGTGATGTCACAGGAAACGGTGGTTGCGTCGCGGCGCACACACGGCTCGCGCTCAGTGTGCGTGCGGAGCGTGGACTTGGTTGGATCGTCCCCGGAGCGTGTTTTTTTTTTTTTTTTTTTTCAGACCAACGGGGGGAAACTTTGAGGACTTGTGACCGCCTCGGCTGCACTCCTGCCCGGGTAAGAGCGAGCGGGGGCGCCGGGGGGGAGGGCTGGAGAGCGGAGTTTCGGACACGTTTGCGCAATGTGCTGTTTGGAGAGTTGAATCCACATTTGTCGAGCCCCCAAAAGTAGGACATGTTTGACAAGTCTCGATGCATTTACATGAACGAAGCGTGTGCGGGACCGATGGAGCATTTTCGATCTCAAACTTTTCAGATACGCGCTTCCGTGATGCTCTGCGGTGTGCACTTTTGCTGTTACACCGTTATAATCGCGTCCCCGTTATCTGTGCGGCGTGTGCGTGCGCATTTCACGATGCGGTGTATGGAACTGTACGGCGAGTTATTGATGCAAACTGTCACATGTGCAGCTGGACGTTATTGTTCGAAAATGGTGACATCTTTTTTTCACAAATCCTAACGTAAGAATATGCAGAAGTAGACACACATTGGAAAAAAAAATGTTTAGTTGCAAATAACTTTATATAGTCTAATATTTACGTGCGTAATTGTGCAATTTACGTAAGAAAAAACTTGTTGACTGAAATACGTTTTTTTTTTTTTTTTCCCCACACATTTTACATTTTATTCTTACACGATGTGAAAGTAAGTGCACAGTTGTATTTTGTATGTTGCATGGCTAATATTGCATTTTCTACCGTGTTACGATAGAATAACGTATTTACACTGCAAGATGAAGCAAAATATTGTTTTCGTTTTGCATTTTTGCCATTAAAATGCAAATTACTTGGACATTATTGGTTTAAAATGTGATAATATTGACGTGACAACAGTTTATTACGATGTTATATCGGTTTAATATCTTGTTTAAACTTCATTTGTAGCGGTTTAAATGCACAAAAACAAAAACTAAAACACGTTTCACGTATTTTCTATCCTGCATTGACACTGTAGAAAACCGTTTATTAATGGATTATAAAACGTGTTTATTGCCTTATTTTAGTTTAATGTGTTCGTCAAAAGTATCAAAAAGCAGGTACCAATTTATACCACAACTTGTGCTGAATTTGATACTCGTTTGAGCAGGTATCGATACTAAAAAAGTCACATTCGGAGGACAGAAATGATGTCGAATGATCTTGAGCTGTGTCATTTAAATCCACATGGGAATAGAAAACAAAGTAGTGCCATTTAACGTTGAAAGTGTTTTGGAAAGTGAGTGTTTTGCGTTATTATTGCGGTATCAGAATCAGTATCGAGTATCTAGTCTATGCAATTGTTGTATTGTCTTTATTAGTAGTGTTATTGAAGATGTTGCATGTTTCGTTTCGGTCTGGATGGCACCGGGAGACTCCGTTACGCGCGGACACGGGACTTCCCTGCGGTTTTACGGGCGCAGATGTTCGGGCTAAACAGAGCAGGGAGCGCGCCGACACCTTTACACTCACTTATTTATTTATTTGTTTATTTATGTGCGTGACAAAGTGGAGCACGGCGGTCACGCACGTTACGTATGAAGCTCAACTATACAAGCAGCGTTATGACAAAAAAAATAAAAAAAATAAATACTGTACAGGCTTAATGTTTGATTTTAAAGGCAGGCAGTGTTGGGAAGGTGACTTTTAAAATGTAATCCCCTACAGATTACAGATTACATACACCAAAATGTAGTTTGTAACATAATCCATGAAATTACTTAAAGTGAATAACATAATCTGAATACTTTGGATTATTTGATTTGCTGTAGAGAAGCAAATACAAGGAAATCTTCACATAAGATGTTTTGTCTGTTTAAAGAAAATAAAAAAGGCCCAGTCTTTACTTAACCGGATTAAAAATGTTATTGATAGAAGAGGAGACACGTCCACGCAGCATGATTAGTCCTGTTCAATTCTGTTTTAAACCTGGTTTTAGTCCCGGTTTAGTCCTCGTTTAGTCCTGGTTTAAACCTGGTTTTAGACCTGGTTTAGTTTCCGGCAATGAGTGGAATTACTGGGGGGGGAAAAAAAAAAAAGGGATATAGCCCGAAATGTGAAAACAGGAAAATACCACCATGTAATCCATTTACTTCTACAAAGTAACTGTAATCCAATCACCACTCTTTAAAACAGTAACAGTAACTGAATACAGTTACTCATAATTTGTACTCTGATTACATAACTCTGGTACATGTAATCTGTTACTCCCCAACACTGTGGACAGGGTATTATGCTTATTTTTGCTTTCTATCGTGTTATGACATTGTTCCCTCATCAAAAACATTCCTTAAGAGGTTTTAGATGTTGTTAGAAGCATGTTGGAGTAATTTAGCGATCTCTCCCGGGCCCTATTCAAACCCTCCTTACTATTAGCTGTATGATCTTGTACAAGGCTCCGCCCACAAGCCCTCGCTCCCACGCTCCCACGCACAGTTCTTCATAAAGATACAAAAACATAATACAAAACTGTCCACAGCGACCTGACAAAACTGATGTGATGTGCAGGAGTTTTATGAGCAGGATGCACGCTGATTGTGTTGTGATAGCGCTCTGAAGGGGAAGCGACTTAACACGGAGAGCAAAGAGAGTGTCAGAACGTCAAAAACAAAACGCAAAAAGGCAAATATCTTTTTCAGAACAACCAAACGTGACGTGGTGATCTAAATATGTGATGTGTTGATTCTCCATAGTAAATACCCAAGTAATTATCCACTCTGCAAGACGTTTCTAAAGTGCTGCATTGTTTCATAACTGGACAGAGCGTCTCATTTGTGGTAAATATGTTTTATGACGGAGCTGAGCCAAAAGGCAAAGCTCTTAATTTCCCGTCAGTGTCCGTTCCTCCCCTCACCTACGGTCATGAGCTCTGGGTAATGACCGAAAGGACGAGATCGCACTGATTCAAATGAACGCGCATGGACTCACTTCTCCACAGATCTGACCTGTAACTTAGCCTGGCGGTGTCACCTGCTTGTCTCCATGGAGCTAGAGAAGCTAAATGCCATACTGCGGGACATTGTAGGCAAAGCGATTATATGTCCATGAAGAAGAACAGACTGTAGCAGACCCTGTGACAGAAAAGTTACATCGTGCATCTTTAAGGCTCCGTTCAAACTGCAGGGTTTAAAGCTCAATTCGGATTTTTTTGTGAAATCCGACTTTTGTGAGAGGTCGTTCACATTTCCAAGTAAATGTGACTTGTATGTGATCTCCAGTGTGAACTTTAAATGCCCCAAAAGTGTCCCGCATTCCCATTAGAGGACGCAACGACGTCACACACAGCGAGTGTGCTCTGTGTTTATGGAAGTCGCCTAAACATGGATGCATCATTGAGCATCTGGACATTTTAAAGCTGCTGTTGTACCGGAGCCAGAACATGTACAGACTATTTGTTTTAAGGAGGAGATTCAGAAGGAGAAGGACGAGTTTTTTGGTCGTGGCGTTTTGTGGGACAGCGGCAGTGACGTCTGTAGAAAGAAACGTGTGAGTGCAGAGTCGCAGCCAAGAGCGGTGGGACTGAGTTCAAACACAATTTTCGTATGACAAGAAGAACGTTTGTGTACATTTGTGACGTGTAGGTGTGATGAATGTGACCTGACTGTTCAGACTGAAGTCACATGTCAAAAGATCAGATATGTATCGGTTTTAGGAGCACATGTCCAAGGCTACGTTCGACTGCAGCCTGAAGTGACCCAAATCCAATTTTTTGGCCCCTATGTTCCTGTATCTGATCTTTTAATGACAGTCTGAACCACACATATCCGATTTTTTCAAATGTGACCCAGGCCACTTGGATATGTGCTCCTAAAACCGATACATATCTGATCTTTTGACATGTGACTTCAGTCTGAACGGACAGGTCACATTCATCCACCTACACGTCAGGCTCGTGTAGGTGGGATGAGATCGCGGATAGAATTGGCTGAAATGAGTTTCTTAGAGATGGAGTGAGGAACTCAGTCACACGGGAGGAGCTCGGAGTAGAGCCGCTGCTCCTCCACGTCGAGAGGAGCGGCTGAGGGGAAGGCATCTGTTCCAGATGTTTCCTGGGCGTCTCCCTCAGGAGCTGTTCAGGGCATGTCTCACTGGGAGGAGGCCCGGGGAAGACCCAGGACACGCTGGAGGGACTATGTCTCTGGACTGGCCTGAGAATGACTTGGGGCCTTCCCGGTGGAGCTGGAGGAAGTGTCTGGGGTGAAGGAAGTCTGAGAGTCCCTGCTCAGACCTTCTGCCCGTGCGATCTGGCCTTGAATAAGCGGAAGAATATGGGTGGATGTTTTATGTCATACTGTCGAAGATTATAACCAAAGGAACAACATTTTGATGCAAAAAAACAAGCAGGAGGGTCGGGTCTGTGGAGATGCAAGCTCAGTCAAAGTTAGGGGTGTGCAAAAATATCAAAATATCGATATATTGTATCACTTAATGTGATGATACAGTATCGATATGGCGGGCTCCTGTATCGATATATCATCAAGTGGTTTTTGGTTTATTTTACTCAATTATTTTGTTAGAGCGCTTCAGTTTTTTTGTTTGTTTGTAAGAAGAAAACTTGTTTATGCGACACATTTAGTATTTTCAGTTTTCAAGATTTAAAATGTTTGCATTTCATTTTAATTTTGCACAGGAAGTGGTTTAACTTACCATCCACCCGCCCGCGGGTGATTTTCCCAAAAAAAAATTTTCACTCTGTATTTTCGCCTTCATTATTGTTTTCACTACTGGCCATACATCGTTTGAAAGCTTAATTTCTCAATAAAACAACCATATCATTTATTTTATGCCGTACAACGAGCCCAAAACGCTATAACTTAAAAATTCACATCATAATCAAAGAATAAAATATGCACATTTCTTACCTTTGAGCCGGTTCTGTCGGTCCAAAACGCGTTCAATCCATGAAAAGTTGTACTCAATAAGTCCGTAATAATCCACAGAAAAAGTTTTTTCCATAAAATAATTCCATGTGGGGAAATAATCCAAAAAACCCTCGTCCGTATGAATCGATGGATACAATGATATGAAAAAAAGTTTCTCTTCTCTCCCTTCTTCCACTGCGTTTCTAGCAGGTTTGCTAGCA